GAGAGAGAGAGAGAGAGAGAGAGAGAGAGAGAGCAAAACGATTTTATTATCATTTTAGTTTTGCAAACAAATGGATTGAATCAACAGTAGAAACCGTGAAAACGCATATCGCCCGACAAATAGTACGCAAACATCTGAACGGCGGGTCGGCTTATGTATTGTCCTACAGTTTCAACCGAGATCTCAAATGTGAATGGCCTGACATACCGGCGCCCACCGAACCCCATCCAAAAGGCATTATAGTGTTGATGAGTAAAGCTCTGGCCAATATCGATAGTGAAGCCAAAGGTTAATATATTTGTCCTTGTTGTTATCGTTAATATTTATTTATCAGTTTTAAATTTTCTATTATTTTTAAAAAGCACAAGTGTATTAATTTATTGTAATTTAAAATTCCGTAATATTAATTGCACTTATTATAATCCGATAAATTAATCAGGCAAATAATTTTAATCATTATGGTTTTCAGTTGGGAATAGCACTCGCGCAATCACTGAGGAGGAATTGGACAATACATATGCCGTACCATTCATTACGTTTGGCGACCCGGAGCGGCCACAAGTTTACAAACGTCAACAATTGGAGGAGATTTGCAAACAGTTAAGTACAATAATCAATACAATATGCTTATATAATGTAACTTAAGTATAAAAATATAAAGTATATTGTCACTAATAACATTTAAAACTAAAAACGCTAAACAATTACAGCCAAATAAAGGCGTCAAAATTGGGCATCAAGGGCGTTTTTCTTAACATGTATGGTCATAGTCCGAGTGCGACCAAGTTTATTGCAAATATTTTTAGCAAAAAATCTGTATACAATGAGACGTGTAATCGATTGACAAATGGGACACTAGACGAGTGGCTGCCCTACTATAAGGAAGTGCATGATATGAATCCTAAGATGAAAGTGATTAGAGACCAATTTACCCGAGCGATGGTCGCCGCGTCTAAACCCGATACTAATTACACACTCTATGATGTTGTCTGGTATGACATATATTGAGAGAGAGAGAGAAAGAAAGAAAGAAAGAAAGAAAGAGAGAGAGAGAGAGAGAGAGAGANGAGAGAGAGAGAGAGAGAGAGAGAGAGAGAGAGTTTATACTGACAAGCAAAGTGAACTCTTTCCGCGAGATAATTGTATTAAATGCCAATGTGGTAGTAGTTTAGGGTAAAATAAATAAGTTAGTAACATTTAGGCTATATGCACTCACTTTATATAATATATCATAAATGTTACACATAATAACACGTAAATAACACGTAAATATAAGTACACATGTTGTATATTATAACACGTAAATATAGTGAGTACACTTCCACGCCAAGTAGCCCACTGTAGGGTGATGTTGACATTGTTGGTTATTAAAGCACTATGCTTAATAATCGAGTAGCACATGGTTACAAAAAAATGTTCAAGCACATACCGTAGGTAAGTATATGGCAATTAGTGCAAAAAAATGTTACCAAGCTATTTTATTTACCTGGAACTACTACCACATTGACATTAAATACAATAATCTCGCTGACAGCGCGTGCATATCACTTATGAATTTTATGATCATGTTAGTTTTGCAAACAAATGGATTGAGTCGACAATAGATACCGTGAAAGAAAGTGTTTCCCGACAAATAGTTCGCCGTCACCTCAACAGCGGAACCGCTTATGTGTTGTCCAACAGTTTCAACCGAGCGCTCGCATGTGACTGGCCTGACATACCGGCGCCCACCGGACATCACCGTAAAAGCATAATTATGTTGATTATTAAAGCTCTCGTCAATATAGATAATAAAGCCAAACAAATACAATAATTAATATTTATTTGATCTATTATTTAATTAGTTACAATTCTTATTTTAAATTTATTTTAATTAAAAATACTTTACTAGAAATTGTATTGATTTTATTTGCAGATTATATTAGGCTTTGATGCTTATTGATTGCTCAAGGCATTTATATGCTCTGTCAATTAATTTCTAGCTAAATACATTCTACAAATTTCATTAATGAATGGACTATAAATTACATTCACTTAAGTTATTCAAATAAAAACAATGAAGAGTTTATAATTCAAAATTTTATTCGTGAATATTTTATTAATTTTAACAAATATTATACTTATAATTAAAGTATTTTATATATCAGTGCCATTACTTACCGCCCCATTTAGCTCGGGCTCCAAACACAGGCCACGACTTGAACTCATCGGAGCTCATGTATGCCTTAATGGCCGGCAGGGCTTCAAATCTGTCCAAATACTGACCAATAGTCGGGTGTTTGGCCACAGACTCGGGCGCATACAATCTCAACTTATCCAACAATTCATACGCATGAAAGTCTACGTAAGACAACTGATCGCCGGTTAGCCATTGCTTGTCCGCCAAGAACTTTGCCAACAGATCCAACTGAGGCTCGAGAGTGCCTGTGATATAGGCCGGGGGTTTGGCCTCTCCATCGCCAGGTCCGAACATTATGCCCAAAAATCCCTGCAACACGTCCTGAAGCTGTTGCTCAGCCATGTCTTGTACGGCCCGAAGGGGGTCAGCGGTGGCCGACAGGCCGTGCTTTTCACCCAAGTATCGCATTATAGCCATACTTTGGGTCAGTTTAAGATCGCCGTCAATATAGTAGGGAATGTTGGGAAAGTCCAAACCCAATGTAAACTTTTCCGACTGCCAGTCCTTAGGGTTGGCGTAACGCTTGTCCGTGAATTGTATGCCCGCGTACTTCAATAGTAAGCGTATGGACTGCGCCCTCCCTCTCCACGACCAGTAACCCACTGTAGGTGATGTTGACATGGTTGGTTTAGCTCGTCCTGTTATAAATTGTTAAGATCTAGTTAGTTTTTGTATTATTATTTTACCTAATACTCAAAATAATACCTTAATAATTAATATACAAATGTTAACTTAAAAGTTTAAGCTGGAAAAAATTTTAATACAAATTGGTTAGGTTGTAAATTTGTATTGTTTCAAATACTACCTAAGTAACAGTGAAAATAACTATTTATAATAACAGTTGCAATGTATATCGTTTACTTATATAGTTTTTGTACAGATACAGTTGAGGTAAATCATTACAAGGTAAAAATTATCATGTAAACAGGATTGTTTTGGAATAAAATTGTGAATGTCACTTAAAAATGTGCTGATTGAACATTATATTTGAAAAACAAACTTGCCTAGAATATTCTCGAACAAATGGTTGTTTAATTAAAGTGATTTTATTAATAATAAATTATTATTAATAATTAAATAATGTTTAATTAATTAATATTTTTGTATTTCGTAATTGTAAAATAATTTAAGAATATAAGTTTAAAAATTAAATACAAAGATTCATTTTCTTTAATAAATAATCATATTACTGTCATAACTTTTATTATTGCACTTAAGGCAAACACTCATGTATTTTATAAGTATTTTAATATAAGTAAACGTTACATCATTTCTAAGTCCTATGGAGAGGGAAAGGTAGACACGCGATTTTATAAACCACATTCTAATTACTATATATAATAAGATTTAGTTTGTAAACATTGCGCAAGAATACAGGAATATCTCGAGACATTGTTGGAAATTAATTTAATTAATTTTTATTTATTTTTACGGAGAGTGTGTGGGAGTGTGCT